CAGACTAATTACAGGGGCTGGCACCAAGTACCACCATCAAAACAAATAAAAGAGTATTCACTGCATATCCTACCAAATTCCTTCAGATGTGTAACTGTGATAATACAACAAGGACGATCAATTTAAAGGGGCAAATCTGAGCACGTGTCCCTACAGCTAAAGGAAAATAATTGGCATCTCAATGAGAGGGAAAAAAAAGGCATCTACCATAACGTGCTTTGCCTGATTTTTTTTTTCCCCTGGATTTCAAGCAAGAAAGCTTGCAAATTTGGAAAGGAAATGCAAAGCGAGAATAACAATTTCTTTAATAGTTCCAGATATTTTGCACATCTTTAAATAAGTTCTCAAAAACAAGACTCCCCAATTGCAACAAAACACATGTGCTTCTACTCTCACTGCACATCGTCCTCCAAAGCGTTTCCTTGCTGTCCCCTCCACTCAGGCTCATCTTTCGCCTGTGTCCTGTAGCCCCAAAACACAAAATGTATTTAAAATAGCTTTTAAAACTCTTAGAGCATTTGATTTCCTGTCATTTTATAAAATGACGTTAGAGGTCTTACGGAGACTTCCTACATGATTTTTTTTTTTTTAAAAAATAACCTTAATTAAAAACTTACCCTATAAAAGAAAGCAGCTGTAAACGCTGAACCTGACGACCAGCAAACATGTCCACCTTTGTAATTTCCTAACTGCATTTTCTGCCTTTGCGTGATTACCGAAGGAAACGCAATCACACAGGCAGTTGCCCCTTAAACCCTCTGGTCAAATCCAACCAACTTTGACAAAAGACATGGAAGTCTCACAGTCAAAATGTTCCTGCAAATTTGGTGAAAATGAGCAGTGGGGTAAGGGACCCGAAAGGAGCGCTCAGCACCCCGCACCCGGAGCCCTCCGCAGCCGCCTGCCGCCTGCCCTGCCTGGGACCAGGCTCGAGATGAGCCTGAGGGAGAGTCAGATCTTTAAGCTGGGTCTGTCCCCTTTGCAGGATCACACCTCCCAAGGTGTACTGACCAGAAATGCCGAGAAAATCCCAGGAAATTCCTGAGATACAGGCCAGGTCATCGATGTTCCTCAGCAACCCTTCCCTCCCTCAATGACCGACTTTTTAACATTAGTCCCAGCTTTTCTGCAGCTTCTTCTCTGAGTTTGCAGAACGATAATTGGGAGAAGTTATCGGCATGGTCTGGAGGCATAAATTAACTTTCCATCCCAATTCTGAATTTTGCTTGGACAGACTGGAAGCAGAGGGCTTGCTCCACAGCTGAAGGAGAAACGTTTTGCTTCAGTAGCACAAAGACATGAACAGATGACAGCACGCCTTCTGCACAGCGGCCCAAAAGCCTCGCTAGCTGCTTTTCTCTGCCCTGCAGACAGGGAAGGAGGCCCTGAATAAGCTCCCTGATGTGGCTGTGAGGTTTACAGAGGCTCACCGGCACCCAGACGCATGGCAGGGCTTGAGACTTGCCATGGACTGGTCCGAGCCGACCCGTTCTTCAAGACCTTGCTCACAGCCAGAGGTTTCTGCTGAGCACACGCTCCTCAGGAAAAGGGACTCAACCACAGGGCACCTGAGCAAGCACACCCAAACGAGGGTCCTCGAGATAAAACACTCCAATTTTAACCCATCACTGCCTACCTGCTGCTCAACAGTGGCACTAACACGTGGCAAATGCAAGACGGAACAGCACAGCTCTTCCAGACAAGGCGCTCTCCTCTACAGTTGAGTCACGTTTGCATTTTTTCCCCCACCACGGGTGTATTTTATATTTTACACAAGATTCAGAACACACACCCGCCCACCAGGAGCCTGTCTCACGCTAAAGGGCACTGTGAACACAGAGCAGCAACCACCACCCAGCACCAATGCCGCCCAGTCCAGTACACCAGCAGCGGTGCATGGTGGGCACCCACAGCACTATAACTAACCAAGGGCTTCCAGCTGGGACCCCAGGCTGGTTTCCAGCTTGTTTCAGAGAATTGCACCTCCAAAGCCTATTTGCATGAAAATGTATCTTCAGACAAACAAACAGCACCAGCGCTTTCAAGTTCTGGGTTACAAACTAATGCCATAAGCCAGAAGTGTCCTTAGCTTGTCAGCCGTACAAAGGCAGCCCATTGCTGATCGCTTTTAACTGAGCTAATCTCAGCCTGAAAGCTTCAGGAATCCAAATAACTCTTGTTTCACAGAAGTTTCATTTCATTCTCATGCTGAAAATAATATACATAAACCAAACTCATGTCTACACATTTGCACGACTTTATAATAAAAGTTGTGTTTATATTCTTAACATCTGTTGACATACACAGACTTTGTAAACCTGGCATCGATTTTAAAGCCACAGAATTTTCCATGCATCATGAATATTATCTGCGAGAAGCAATAAAAAAAGCAATGAATACATTAATCATACCAATATCATCTGCAAAACATAAATCTGAAATACCTTTCATGTCAGCTCAACTACTTTTTTCTTCTGTTCACACACCTGATTTTACGCCAAGGGCAGCAGGAAGATCACCAAGGAAATGATATTTCTCAGTCCTTTGACTTTTACTAAATACTTGCACTTTAAATAATATAAACATAATATTTATTACGTGAAATGAAAGAAGTTGTACCTACAAGCTCATTTTGTTTCGTTGCAGGACTAAGTTCTCTCAAAGTACAATGTCTATAGCTCCACTTTTGTCATTTGTTCCCTAAGCCGCAATAAACACAATATTTACTGATTATAAACATACGCATCAATAAGCACACATGCACAATTTTAATTTACTTTCAGCTTCAACTTATCGAAAGGCAAATACTTGCTCTCCAATACCAGCTCTGAACATCCCCTCAGGATCTCCACGTTGAGCCCGCTCCTGGACTACGGTAACAGGAACAGCTTCTGCCCTCCACAACGGCCAACGGGGAGAGTGCAGCTCGCTCCTACAAACCAGCAGGTGGAATTTTGCTTTCAGATATCCGCAGATAACCTTGATCCCACCAGAGCTGCACAGGCGACCCACCCTGGCTGGGCACAGAGAGTTCACTTTTGAAGCCAATTCCCAGCCTCTGCTCTCATTTCTGCCTTACCCGACACCCGTGAAGGGCAACCAAGAATGAAAGCGACTGTACCAAAACCTCCCAAACAATTCAAGTGGCAATTTTTTTTGAGCACCCTTTCTAAGATGACATGTACTAGAAGTATAAATGTATACCTCATCATTTACTAATGAGCGTATTTAAATATACTCAACATCCTATACTGGTACATGCTTCATCAGTCTTCAAATTAGGAAGACATTTACCTACGTTGTAAAATAAATGTACACAGTCAAAACCCCACAACTTGGCAAATTTTTGCCAAAGCAATGGGTTTTCTCAGTATCTGCTGGTGTGGCACGCTGATTTATCTCTTGACCCATCTGGTGGCACACTGCCTAAGTCCATCTGATCAAATTGACTTATTTATTTATAGCATGCAAACCCACTTTTTAATTAGCTTTGGGGAAAAAAAGTCATTTCTAGTTGTGCTGAATCAACAAAGACTTTGACCATGCCCCAGCAGAGATACCACTTCATGAATATTCAAAGCACAAAGGCTGAAAATCTCAGCTCTTCTGAGGGTTACTTCTCTCTCAGCAGTGTCAAACGTGCTGGTCTCTCCTGGTTGCTCCAGCTCCGAGCTGCCTGCACATCTCACCAGGGTTTCATGTGAGCTCCCTCTCACGGGCTTCCCTCCTTCGTTGCCCTCTGAATTATCTGATACGGTTCTATCGTTTCTGTATCAACATTCAGGTTTGAAGGGTAATCCAGGAAAAAAGGTACCCAGGGTTCTGGACGTGCTCCCTGGACCAGCACCATCCTGCTCATGAGCTGGATTTTTCTGCAGTTGTTTTCTCTTTTGCTTCCACCCAGCTCAGAGGGGCCAGGAGCACCTCACCCACCTTCTCTCTACTGCCTGGGCTCTCCTTACTGTGACAACCACTGTTTGAAATGGAAAAAAAAAAAAAAAGCCAGTCTTACAAATTCCTGTTTATCTAGCTGACTCTGATTTCCTAAAAAAATCTTGGCATAGCTGTGTAAATAAGCATCTCCCAGCACAGCTCCTGGTCCCTACGCACACCAACAAAGCCTGGTGCTCGCTGCGTCCCTCCCACCGTGAGGGAAAGAACCAGCTCAGCGACAGCCATCGCCCAAACAAACCCCTGGGTTTCCCCTCCCACCCGAGAAAGCGCCCACCTCTCCTTCAGAAATAAAACAGAAGGCAAATGCGTGCTCTTGGAACGTGACTTTTTTCTAAGCAAGGCCATGATTCCTCAGAAGGCAGTATTTTAGGAACGTAGCTGACCGCAGATCTCAAGATAAATTCAGTATTTCTCAAGCAAATTTGTAACTGATGTCCAGGACACGCTCTTGTGAGGTCGAGATGTGGCTCAGGATACTGACCCCATATAAAACCCCAGAGAGGTCTAACCAGGAGCCTGCCGTGCCAAAGACCCTGCGAGATCAGCTACTACAATTTGTTGAAGAACACACTAGAACTCTGTCTTCCTGCTTAGAAGGTGAAACGCATCGTATTTTCCTCACCCTATTTGCCAAAAGTTTCTGTTCTTACATATACACCCATTTTTCTCAAGTTTTTCCCTGGCAAAAACGAACCCCACTGTCCTGCAGTTACATATTTCCAGCATTCATTTATGAATGCAAGTAATGAAAAAAAAAAAAATCAGAATCAAATAGTATTTGTCTAATCCCATAGGACTGACCCTGACCTTGACCCTAATATTATAATCAAGAAATTGTAATATTAGACCAAATCTACTTAACAACTACAAACCGGAATTAATTTTCTCCACCTAATGAGATCAGAATCAGAAAGCAATCCGTCAAGGCAAACCCAAGAGGGTTTGGCCTCACAAGGATACTCCCAAATTTCTGAATATAAATATTTTCCCATCAGAATCCCATGGAAATCAAAGCAATATTAAAAGTGGTATATAACAATAATTACCTGATTAAAATTTTTGAAATTGAACTCTTTGTAGATGGCATCTCTTTCGCCTAACTCAGACCAGCCCGAAGCTTTGAGATCAAGTAAAACTTGGTTCCTCTCCTCTGTCGTCAACCAGTGAGACTGCGAAGACTATTGAGGAAAAAGCAAAATAAAAACATGACATGAGTGAGGCTGAGGTTCTCTTTTGTACAACAGCACGAAAACCACACGATGAAACCACAGTTTTGTATTGTAGAAAGGCAAGGAGGTGGGAAATCCACTGGACAGTTTCTTACTGTTGATAATTTCGCAGACCAGCTTCGCTCAAAACAGCCAACAAACACCGTTTCTGTTTGGCCAGTGAAGTTTGGCTCAATGCTTTTGTACAAAACAAAAGTAACAGGCTCTTTCACAGGAATGAACGAACACGGACACCAGCACACCTGTACCCATCCCTTGTTCATCTGAATTATCCGGCTGCTGCAACACCTGAGTCAATTTTCAAATATTCCACTCTGTCATATAAATACAGGATTATTTACATTACATGCTAAATGTACAATTGTAAGGCTAAAAGGGGTATCAGCGAGTATTTGTTTCAAAAGACAGAAGCAAAATGGGAGATTGTATCTACCTAGATTGTATTTTACAATTCCTAAGAAAGCAGAAATGGATTTAAAGATAGCACGAGCTGTGGAGCTCTGCAAAGAGGTTTTAACTAACAATAAAACCAAACAAAACCAACAGCACAGGCACAACTATGAGAAGTCACAAGGTATAAGCACTACATTCTGCAAAGCACCTGTGTTTAAATCTGGTTTATTTGAAGCAAAAAGAGTCCTGAAACCACTGGGAGCACAGATTACACGATCTGCTTAAATATCTGAATCTGTGCCTGAACCACGCACGAGGCCAGAGCCAGACCCGGAGGAAAGTTCTGTGGGGCGTTTGGAAGAGGTCTGACATTTTTCCTAAAAGCAGAGACGAAGAGCCTGAGTTGATTACTTAAGATAGAGACTAAGGGCATAAATGATTACATAAGATATTTTACCAGATGGGTCTCAAACTCATTATAAACACAATGCTTCAATGGGAAGAACTTTTTCCCCCAGTAGAGCAAAATTCACGTTGCTTTAGTCTTTTTCTTAGCAGCCAGCACAGCTTTGTGAGAACTTCCAGAAAGGGGCTGAGCAATTTTGCTCCAGAGCTTCACTAAGGCCTCGAAGGGCTGTGAAAACCCAGCAGCTCAGGGTACTTTCTGCCTTTGCCAGTCGGTGCTGGCAGCTCTGCTCCAGAGCCCGGCCGGAGCCCCAGTGCCACCAGATGGGGCTGTGAGCCCGAGCAGAGCAGGAATTAACGCAATTAATGCGACCTGAGCCAGGCTTCGAAACGCAGGATGGCCAAGGAGCAACATTTTCATCAAGACAAAGGACAAAAAACCCCAAACAGGGTAAATAAATCTCACAGCATCACTGCCATCGCCTGCGTTCA